CAGAATCTGATTGTTGTGCCATTGAACTGGGTACTTTACTTGAATTGATCTAATAAAAAATATGTAAAAATGCAAAAACGATTCAAGAGCTAGCTAAGCAATAAAACAGTAATAATAATAAACAAAAATAATAATGCTAAATACCTGTCTGTTCTAATAGTCAAGAGTCTTTGTACTGGACAACAAACCATCTAGGCACCAAAATGAATCATTTACTTTATTTTCCCCATTGCATACACACTATGCAATTAAAATGATCAACCTGCTGTAAATGACGGTCATGTGACACTCAGGCATTGTGAGTGATATCCTTGGGGGGTCCCTAGGGCTGGCGTCATCGTAAAAGCAAGAGAGAGAGGAAGGTGAATCGAAACAGGTCATGCAAATAAAAACGTCGGTAACTGAGTGACGGCCCCGCGGTGCTCACTCAGGAGGAATCGCATCTGCTCCCAAAGTTCAGGCCCAGGTTACCAATTTTGATAATGCCGGCGAGGAACCTCCTACCCAGCTCTCATCCTTTTCCCCTCGGCTCTCTGGAAAGAAATCTGCTGCACTCGTATATCATTTTTCTTCATTTGACAACCACCTTTTTAACGTGAGGAGAAGTCAATTAGCTTCTCCGAAACAGATGGCTCAACAAAGCTTATTAGCCTATATCTATGAGGAAAAATAGGTTACTGTCATAATCCCCAGGTATATTTTTCCAGGTTCATTTGAAAGATACACTCAAGTGCCAATGTAATGGCAAAAAACTAAGCCAACAACCATATAGCTTGTCCACATCTTCGCACTGTATTAATTATAATCCATATCTGACACCAACTTATCATTTTAAGTCAGAAATCACAACTACACTAAAGCTCATCAGGCTAGGTATGTCCCCACTTGAAAAAAGTCTTACCTTGGTGTCAAATATGCATTAGTGAAATATAACACTCAGCTGTCTCTTAAACAGTACTATCATTAAAGATCTTTCACTAAACGATTCAGTCCGGGTTTAAAAAGTGAACAATTCCAGACCTTGATGTTTTTAGCCATTTTCAGCCTCTTAGACGCAATCAAACAAGAACTACAGCCAACGCTACCGATTGCATAAATGACGCGGCCAAAAAGAGAAGCTTCACATTGGTATCACCGTGCAGGCATTTTTAAACACGTCTACGCCTACAGAACCACCGCGCGTACAGTAATAGCCTTTTCCCAGCATGCTCACGCTAAGTGGTCATAGTGATCGGAGCTGGCAAGAGAATCTGCGCTTAAAATCTTTGGGAAGATGACCCACCCCCGTCCCCCAGCAGCTCAACTTAAAATAATTCCAGCCAGCATCTGCCTCCTGAACCCAGGAAGTGGACGTCCCCTCTGAAAACTCAGTGGAAGTTTGCCCCCAAACATAATTAATTCATAATTAAAAGCAGTTTACATAACTTTGAATAATCCTTAGTCTCTGAAGAGATACTGACATTTGAATTAAGTGAAATCTCTTGTACATGAAGTGGTTTACTGATTACCACAGAGTGACTCCTTCAGATAAAACAATGTTTTATTTCAAACGAGGCAAATTTGCAGTGGCATGCAAAGGATAAAGTGAAATGAGATGCTCATCGGAGAAACACTTTAAAGGGAGGCGAGAGGGGAACATGAAAAATAAAATCATTTATCGGCAGTTTTGTTTAAAACAGACAAAAAGATCACTGCACACAGGAATAACAAACGATCCAAACACTGTTCACAATATACTCAAATGATTCAGACAACTGACTTATCAAAATCACGTCAACTAAGAACATAATTAACAGAACCCTCTGAAAGCTCTTGTTAATACTTGTAAACCAGCGGGAACCATCCTTGTGCCCAACTTCCCACTGCTTATCCGGTACTGGATCGTGGTGCCAACGGAAACCAGCACAAGCAGCAGACTGGCAGAGAGGTGGCCGATTTTAAACGACAGTGGGCCGACGGTAAGTGGGCGGAGAGCCAGTGCCCGCCTCGCGGCATAGTGTCAGCTGAGCGTGTCGCACGGCACATGCAGTGAGCCGCGTCGCAGGGCGTTGGGGCTGCTTCTACAGTGATGTTTGCCGGATCAATAGGTCCATAAAGCACATCATCACGGTCATCATCACAGAGCCCTCTGGGGACGTACGCAGCCATCTGGCCCGTGTCTCACTGGACACAGATTAATACACTGCGGCGACCATAATCCGGGAAACGCGGCATGCCGGCAGGAGAGGACCTGTTCCAGAACCGCGCCTCTGCCACTCATCCTGGGGTGGAGCTCATGTCTACAGGGTCGTGTACTGTTGGGGGAGGTCATGTGATCTACGAGCCAAACATCCCCTCCCCCCAGTGTGTGGAAAGGAGCGACGGGCTTCAGCTTCCAACACACGGCTGAAGCAGTGGCTAAGCACAGACCCACGACCAGTGAGATTAATTCAAAGTCAAGTCTGCCGCGTTTATCGGGCTCACAAAACAATTAAGTGCAGGAGCCGTCATGTGGAAGGCTGAGACTGATCGCTGCTCATTCACCTTACTCTGAAATGCCTATTGATCCCATGCAGCACAATCGCTCACTTTTAATCTAGGCGTCTGCAGGGGCCGCTCGTTTCATCACCCTGTATAACTCATAAAGTACAGCACATTCCCCCGCAGTCCTGCAGCCAAGCCGCCCCTGGCCGCTCGCGTTTATCTGGCTGAGCTCACTGCACTGTTTCTCTTTTGCGGCAAACCCAATTAAGGATGTGACATCACGTCCAGGCGTGCGGTAATGCGCTGCCAAGCAAAAATGATGGAATCGCTTCCCCTCATCTCCGGCAGCCCCTTCTGTGGCTTCACTGCTAGGCTGAGCACCGCGGGCCTGGACCAGCACCCTGCGTATCTTCCACGGTTCCTTTTAATAGGGACCCGATTCTCATGCTTGCTAAGGTTCTGTGAAAAGCACTTGAGGCTTGCATCAAACCTGAAGTAAGATGACCACTGGATTTAGGCTGCCTTACGAGTGACCAGGAACCACCCCTACCACTCCTTCCTGGAAGCAATGTTGAGTGAAGGCAGTGGCGGTCTTTACCCCCACTCAAGTCATGCTTTTCCATGAGGCCCCCTGTTGGCCACAAACAGTCACTTCACTAAATATTAAATAAACACGTTTATTTGGGAGATGCATGTTTTTGCCTCTCTAGGGGGGGCCTCGAAGTGATTGGGGTTTGAGGAATAAACTCGGTGCCTCGTTGGAGTCGCTGCCTTTTGATCTGGGCTTTCATTTTCAAAAGAGGAGTAACTGAAGTGGCCAAATCCAGACCCAGGTGCTACTTTATTCACACTTGTGGGAGTCAGACTTAAATGCACTAGAAGCAGACAGTCTTCCCACAGTGGAGAAATGAGGTCTTCTGTCTAAATAGTCCTCGCTTCACCCAATATGGCTAAGGCTCCCTCCCTTTTATCGGTTTGTAAAGAGTAATGTCTGCTCATGAGGGATATCTCTATTCGAGTCAGATACTTTGAGGCAAACCGAAATTTCCTGCGGAATCGGACTGCATTATCTAGGCCTACTGTCAGCCACGTTTAAACAAGCCGTACCATTATGCTTATCTAGTTCCAACTTGACCTTGACTTCACTAAACAAGAGCTGCATGATTATGATCCGCAATTATGTATCTTAAAAGACAGATAATCTGAGTGTGTTTTCCTGCCAGACACACTGCCCTGCATTATTCCAGTGCAATACTATTCTTGGCAGAGTGGAGGCGATCTAATCGGCCTCTCGGGGAGACTTGTATCTACCAAAGGAAAACGGAGGACACCCTTCTGATTGGTCCGCGGTGCAGTTTGTACACATTCTTGTATTCCCAGTGCACTGGCCATCTGCTTTCCCTGGACATGCCCCTTTACACCGAGGAATCCGCCGCCCTGTCTCAGTCACCTCTCGGCTTACGTGGAGCTGGCAAATTCACCACCAACCCCCCCGCCCCCCCGCCCCCCCTCCACCCTCAGCTTTTTACTGACCTTCTCACCCATTAAATTTTTACATTAGCCCCTCGTAATATGGTGTAATTTCAACTTCCTCTTCCCAACAAATTCTCAGACGTGTGTGTGTGTGTGTGTGTGTGTGTATATATATATATATATATATATATATATATATATATATATATATATATATATATACAAAGACGCTCCTCTACTTACGAATGAGATACGTTCCAAACGGCCGCTCGTAACTTGAAATGTTCGTAAGTCGTTATTCAACATCATTTTAAGGGTATACGCAAGTACAAAGAACTAGGATGCTGGGAGTACGCACGCTACGCTGTTGCACGGTGGGAATAGTGGCCAGAAGTCGTAGTAGGCGGAATTGGCGCGCAGAAAAAAAAAATTATGTTGCGGGCAGGAAACGGGAGCCCAATGAACACAATTTGGACTTACAGTCCTTTTTGTTCGTATGTCTGAAAGTTTGTAAGTTGACAGTTCGTAAGTAGAGGAGTGTCTGTATATGCATTTTTGTTTTTCAGATCAATAGAAAACCGTCCCGGGGGCAGTGAGTAGAGCCAAGCTGTTAAGTAGCCTACACAGGCAGAGGGACTGATTCTGGCCATCTCAGAGTAAAGCAGCCCTCAGCAGTCAGGAGGAGTCGGGCCTGCCTCGACGCCTCAGTGTGGCAAGGCTGCTAATTACACCAAAGTGGCGGCCGGCTACAGCGTTCCACATCAAAGGATGGCTGGGGGCCGCCCATTAATTGGCCCTTTCTGATAGCATTGTAGGAGAGAAGGAAAGTAGCCCATTCCGGCAATCAGTTGAATGTTCACAATCGGGCATCTTTTCACTACTGTAGTGCAAGAGCCATGGCACGGGGAGAGCCGGTCAGGGTGGAATGCGTAATCGCGAATGCTGACGGAGTCAAGCCATACTGATCAGATAGTGAAGCAGAGAGGGGGGATGACCACAGACCCCCGGTGCCCCAGAGCACCAGGGCCAGACCCCGCTAAGCGGTCACGGTGAACCTGACTCACACTCTCTCACTGGGGATGATCTTATAGCCATCCCGGAACCAGGTGACCTGAGGCCGGGGGAAGCTGCGCACGGCGGGGAGGTTGAGCACGGCGGCCTTGCCCTGCACCACCGACTTCCTCTGCTCCTGCTCCACGAAGTTTCCCATGTCTGCGGAGAGAGGAGAACAGCGCTACAGCAACAGACCCTGCTGAACAAAACAGCTTCCCAGCTTAAGCGGGATGCCCAGCGTATGATATTTGTCCAGCTTAAGGTATGTTTTTGCTTCATAATTTGATGGTTTAGCTGGTGATGCCACCTTATGATGGTCACTCTAACTGGTTTAGCTGGTCATACCAGCATGATCAGCTTGATTGGCTAGCCACACCAGCATGACCAACTGGTGACCCACCCAGCTGAACCATGAAAGAGCATCAAGAGCTGGGACATGACTGTCTAAGACCATCTTGGACTATCCAAGACCAGCTACCAGCATAAGCTGCTTTTAACAGTTTTTTTCCGCAGGGGAGTCATCAATTACGCTGGGATCATGTGACGCCAGGCTTTTCCAGCAAAGTGCATGGTGTTAAAAGGGTTTTCTTTTTTTGGTGGGAGACAAATAAAACATTTTTTGACAGGTAGAGAGTACATATAAGAACGATAAATTAAACAAAGCCATTCCATAATGATATTGCTTTATGTAACCCATATATCTTAAAAGGGGCATTTCTGTCCAGATTTGAAGCTTTAAATAATGTCACGTTTTAATATTTCATGCTCCGACGGCAATATAATAAAGCATATATTAAATGTTTGTATTTTTAGCATGTCTGAAATGGCACAATAATGGAAATGAGAGGATTGAGAGTGACAGGCAGTCCAACAATGTGAAGAAGAATGTTTGCTTTGCCAAAGACCATCCTGTACAAAGTGGATGAGCAAATGGCCAACCAAACGTCACCTAAATGCACTACTCACTGCTAATAGTGCAGCAGCATTCAGGAGACCTGACATGTGGCTGCCCGCCTGGCGTGTTTGCATGGGGCTGTGGGGCGGGGGGTCTGTCTCGGATGTGCCGAGGACTCAAAGGATTCAGTAGTTTTATTGTCATTTGTACAAGTAGGGTGAAATATTTGCTTGTGTAATCCCATGTGGACTTAACATATAGCAATGCAGAAAGATAAAGAGCAATGACAGAATAGTGAAGTATAACATACAATATACATACAGTATAATATATTAAAAGTACATTCAATATACGATAAGATCCAAGCCGGACAAGGTGCTGAGGGCAAAAGTAGACTTGCACTTACAGGCCACTTGCACTTCTGCCCTCCTTTGCAGTAGCGCCCCCATCCTGTTCCTGACGACGCACTGGTAGGACCCGGCATCGGCCCGCTGCAGGGACTGGATGGTGTACCTGGGCAAGCGAGGGCATACGTCAGCCAACAGGACACACAGTCAATAGGAGGCCCTCTCATCTCAAAAGCAGCCCATTCTGTCAGACAGAAGCATGGATCAGCCCTGTCCCATGAATCTTGTCTGTATTTGGCCAGCAGGTGTCACTGGCTATCCTGTTCCCCCCTCTGTCTTGTAGCCCCTCAGCCCCAGGTGTGTTTCCCTACTCCCTGGGCCACTGTGTGGCTTAATGGGCTGAGCGGTTGGTCATCATCCAAATTTCCTTTTTGGCTGTTGGTTAGAAGATGGCCAGACACCAGCCTCAACTAATTGTTATTTAATGCTTGTTCTTTTGTGTTCTCTTGGTTTCACGTGTGTTTTATATATTTCTGTTACAATCCCTTGAGTTTGCGCTCTGGTTGTATTATGTTCAGTTGTCCTTGTTTTTAGTGTTTTAACTATTGGATCTGTTAATAGACCTCACCTGCTCCTTGTTGCCCTTAGTTCTTAGTGCTTGTGCTTTTTTTTCCTGTGTTCCTAGTGATCTGTGGTTTTGTTGTTCCTGGTATTGCTCCCTGTCTAGTTGTAGTTTTGTGTCCATTTTCTTTGTAATTCATTTACAAAGTTCTCGTATTACCTGTTTTTGGTTTTGACTCCTTGTAGCCCTTTTATTTTCTGCTTTCCCCTTTGTGTTCTGTTCTATTTGTAAATAAACCCCTTTTTTGTTGAAGCTGCCCCGTGGATCATTCTTCTCTTTGCCACGCCCTGCCGTGACATCTACATTATACAAACCCATTACAAGCACTATTTTATTACATTTACAGAATATCTTAAACTGTCAGTAAAACATCACAAGATTGGCCATTCATGTTATGACACCCTGTACGCCCTCAGGTTCTCACCTACCGTCTCGTTTGCCTTTCTGCAGCATGACAATGCCAAGCACAAGGCCCCGTTTATCTTTAAAAGCATCCTGCGCAGCCAAGCATTCATCTGGGGGCTTTATCCTTGACAAACCCCCTAGTCCGCAGCTTGCATAACACCTCCAAACAACGAAAGTGGATGCTAGCCATTCTAAACGCAATTAGTACAAACAGTCTTAAACGATTCGGTGTGGACCAAGACTGTATGCCCAAACCAAAGAGGAGAGGTCTGTGTTACCTATTTTGAAATTAAAACAAATTTCCGTAAGTGCCAGGTGCATCCAGCATGTAAAATAACTGAAAGTATATTGATTCATAGTTTTAATGGGAGGCTTGCAGGCCTAGTGACCCAAAAGGTCCATGAATATGGACTCATTTGCACACAGCATGCTGGAGATACGGTATAAGTATCACCAACCAGATGTTCAGAGGATGCTCTCCATTATACACGTGCTTAGTGTAACAGAATTTAACATTAAGAGTCCTATACTTCTACATTCTCCCCTTAAAGAACTTTTTTTGTAATATCTAATTACTAATCTTTCTATGATATTGCTAATCAAATCATACCCTTCTGAGACTGGGACAGATTAGACTGGCACAGCTTGTTTTCATGAAGATTCTCGGCGCCCGAGAGGGTCTGGACTAAGGTTCAATAGCCCCATTCTGCTTATTACCACACGTACGACAGGAGAGGGCTCTGCTTATCTGGCCCATTCATTCTAATCACTCCCATTACGCATCATTTGGCCAGACGGGCTCCGCACCAGCCCACGGACCAGAACTTAAAGCGCACGAAACACTCCACACTCTAAAAACGGCTCTCCTTCCAAACGCAAATACAGTGATACTTCAGAGCTCTGCTCTTCCCGGAGAATAATGCATTCCTTTAATCACTGTAACGCCAAGACAGTAAATCAGACTACAGAACAACAGCTCAATTTCATATAAAGCCACTGACTTTAAATACTCAGTAGAAGGCATGTATTTCATTTCCCGGGGTTTCAATATACAGAATGACGGTATCCCTTAAAGGAAGCTGAAAAAAATCTTATTTCCTTTGCAAGTGCAAATAACTTTAACACAATTACAAGACTATGAAAGGCAAAGCATAAAATAAAGTGAGACAAAAATGCTAAGCAAAACGCAATGCTTAACTCCACAGTGACATTTGAAGTAAGCATTAAAGTACATGCATTTTAAGGCATATTTACCACAGATAACCTGCCAATTAATACTTTCAAAGACAATAGCGCCAGGGTGTAAATACAGCACAGTTACTGTCCTTTACCAATGACCTTGGCATTTCTGTTGGCATTTACATCCGCTGCTCACCGAGGGGTACTTGTGAAGTGACGCTGGAAAGCATCAGCGCTCAGCCCATTAAGTGCACTCGCTAACTCGGCTGATTTGTCGCATCAACAGGCAGATCCAAAACCTTTCAGAATGGAAAATGTTTTATTTCAGCTCTTTTCCAGCAATTCAGTGCCAGCCCAAATGACAGTAGATCGGCTCAGTCTTGAAAAGGCCAACAGAAGAGGCCGCGTGACTCAAGGCAGAGTGCGAGTAACACCTTCCAGAGGTAAACACTGCACACAACTGCACAGGCAGGGGCTAAAATTAGTGATACTCATAATAACACATTGAAGCCGTTGATTAACCATCTTCTTGAAATTCACTCCTGTGGGGGGAGTGTTTGAAGAGGTTGTGATGTCCACCTCCGTGTCGTTAGTGTGTCCCCCCGGCGCACGTGCGACCTTCACACACAGATGTGCACCGTGGAGACAGCCGGGCCAAACGATGTCAGGCCGGCCCTATTTTTAATACAGAAACAAACATTTCTAATATTGACTAGCCAGCTCTGACTTTGCTGCGGGGCCTGTGATCCTAATTTCTCCTGAACTCTGCTGGCCGCCACCTCCGGTGACTTCGTGTCCCTGAGCCAACCCTGCCCCCCCCCCCCACACACACACACACACACACACACACACACACGGGGCACGCTCAAGGTGTGGTCCACTTTCAGATTCCGTTCAGGGCATCCTCCACATACACTGTGAAATTTTATTAATTAAATCAGTTAGTCTGGTACGCAGCAGTGCATGCCGTTATTAAGCTACTTACTGTGTATAATGTAGCATAGTAATTTTATTTGAATTGAAACAACAGGAATGCCGTGACCGGACTCCGGGCCCCCCTTGCAGTCGATGCCCCGCGGAGAGCCTTCAATATCATTTCTTGGAAAACTTCATGGGCGATGCTTGTGTGGCTCAGCAGGTTAAACTGCTGTGCCCGTGTTTGGAAGGGCGCTGGTTCAAATCCTATGGTTGGCAGAGTAATTTCACCATTGGGCCCCTGAGAAAATCCCTTAAATGCTCCACGGACTATCTGACCTTGCTTTCTCAAAAGTCACTTTGAAGAAAAGCACCCGCTAAGCAAACTAAATGTAGCTCTGTGATGGTTTTACGCTGACGAGTCACAGCAGGAACATTCCAGAAGTTAACAAAGGGGCGAGCGCTCACTTGTACTCCGGGGAAAAGGGGGTGACGTCCGTGCCGTTGAGCATCCACTTGAACTCCAAGGGCCAGCTGCCCTCAGCCAAGCAGGTCAGGACCAAGCGGTTGCCCTCCAGGTGGATCTGAGCGGGGCCTGGCTCAGTCTTGAAATACGGGGCCACGTCACCTGGAAGACACAGGGGAAATCACGGGTTAGCCCCATCGATCCAGCGGCAGCGCTCTCAGCTACCAGCCACTCCGAGATTTTTCATTATTTAGACGGATGAATAAACATGGTATCGTCAATATAAAGCCCCCCGAACAAGAAATTATTCAGATTTTCCCCCCAGGTAAAGTTGGGGAGTATTGTGCTGGATGCCTGGGTGCCATCTACTCAGTGGCCTTCAAGGTAGCTTCTGAAGTGACCCCTCACCAAACAAATGTGGGCGATTTTCACCATTGTGATTCTTCCTTTTCTGTTGCTAAGCAGAGGGGAAATTGGAGCACACGATTCGGTTGGTATTACAGGCTGACTCTCTGGAAATGAGCTCACTCAGACATGGCGGGGGGGGGGGGGGGGGGGGGGGGGGATCTGCTCTTAAGCTTAATTTCCCTGAGAAGCGTTTCCACCTTTGATGATGAAATTCAGCTCTCCAACTTCTACCATCCCATAATTACTGCCAGCAAAGCAGCGGCAGGCTGACAATCCGCCAGGACTTGCTTTGGCATTGAGTAACAAATAAAATGTGTGGGCTGGGGGTGGGGGTGGGGAGGGGGGGTTGTGTGCCACTTTCATGAGAAGGGTACCACAGTCTAACACAAACAGGTAATCCTGGAGTTATAGCGGGTGATTTAATATTCCCCTTGCACTTGAGAAGACAGAATTCAGCGGGCTCTCACTAATCTAGACCAAAACGAGAAATGTCTTATTAAATATGTGCAAGAAAAAAATTAAAAGCTAAAAGCAGCCCTTTGAGGACGGAGCAGAGGATTGCACGGCCCACACGAGAGATTTCGTTATGACGGAGTGCAGTACTCCCGGCAGGCTTCCTCAATCTATGCCGGCCTTGTCATTAACTCGGGCCAATGTAACAGAAGAAGGACAAGTGTGCAGAAGAAAGATTAGTCTGACTGCCGGCATATGTCAATGGGCAGAGCTACTGGTACAAATTAACTTCAGCCACCTAGACGTGAACTGCAGCTAATGTCCCCGGGGAATTACAGCAGAGCAACTCTGCCCGGGAGAAACTTTAGTACTGCTAACCAGCACCAGAATATCTGATTCCAGAAATTCCTCTCACCGTGGAAAAATTACAGAATAATTAAACAATATTAAGAGGTTTTCTGTTTCAGCCTGACCAAAATAAAGTATTTATTTGCATCTCTCCACCAAGGAGTACTTTCTCAGGGTCTGTTCCACACTAGCCACATACCAGGCCAACTATGTTTTTCACTAAGGTGTTATAAACTTTTTTGAAACAAACATATTTTGAGACGATCCCTCCTGCCCGCTCAGATTCCCGGGATTTGTCCCCATGGTGAAAAAGTGTGAAATGGTCTGGCTAATGATATCGCACTCCCTGGGAACTGTACAAAACTGCCAGAGCAAACCATACAGCAGGAAACAAACATAAATCCGGTCATATTTTTTTTCTTGCTACAACAAACATGACGTTATTGATGTTTAGTGGATGTCCCCCAAGTATATTAAATACTAAGCACATAATATAGTGCTAATAGGACCACAATAATGTGCTCCCCTGCTTCTTATCACACATATTTGTTCCCTATAAGTAAAGTGCTCTCAGAATAGGCACCATGTACATGAAGAATATGTCGTACCTTCATGCAGGAGGCAGCTAATAGCAAGCCTCCAATCACAGTCTCTGAGCCTGGGCCACACCCACCATTAATTGGCCAATTAGAGCTGAGGACCCAAACCTCCCCGACCGTGACTTCCATAAAGCAAAACTGGAGAAGGGATTCACCGGGGCAACGTAAAAATAAAAAGACTGACAGTTGGAATTATTAAGCCAGTGTTTCCCAACCTGGTCCTCAGGAACCCAAAGACAGTCCACGTTTTTGCTCCCCCCCAGCTCCTGGTAAGCGAAAACTGTGGCTTGTCTGAGTGGCCCTGAGTACCAGTTTGAGAAACACTGTATTAAGCCATCATAATCAAAGGACGGGGGGGGTTTGCTCCTAATCTCAGCACGAACATGGAAGCCTGGGGGGGGGGGGGCAGTTCAATTCCAGCTCTGCGGTGGATAACCTTTCCTGCTACAGATGCTAATGAACCCCTCCCCCACCCTCCCATGTGCCCGCAAGTTCTTTGGTCTCAGCACTCAGGGTCACAACACTCCATCTGAGATCCGGGAATCCCCAGTCCGTAAAAGTGAGAAACAGCTGCTGTGCGTGCAGCATTCCCGCATCCCGCATCCCGCGCCGACCACCTCCTCCAGGATGGATGGCTTTCCGTTCTGACTGAGCGGAGCGTCCCTCGTCACAAATTTACTTTATCTACTGGCAATCCGGAATATTGCGGTTAGACCAAAGCCAGACTCCGGGAAAGCAATCTGAAAACAGGCCGATAAATCAAATTAATTTGGCACGGAGACGCGGATATTTATGCAGTTCTACCTGAAGGAAAGTTGGGTTAGAAGAGCCTCGTCAGGACAGATTGAGTGTTGCTGCCAGCTCCCAATTAAAGGATATAGTGCAAACAGTCTCAGGCGTACATCTGTACTAAAGACGAAACGGCCAGTCAACTGGGAAGTGCAGTCTGCTCCTGCTGGACTCCATACATATGTACAGAAAGGCCAAAACTATGTATGGCTTTCAACTTAATCAAACTCCAGAGCCCCAAGCCCCCAGCCTGAAGGTATAAGCACAGCTGAGAGATTAGTCCGATTCCTTGGCTCCTTTATCCAAGGGGTCAGACATCCCTCAGGCTTTTCCTCAGACACCTATAAGAATGGCAGAACCTAATATGGAGATTCCCGTAGCTCTGCTAGCAAACGGCCCTCCGCCGTCACACAAATCATGGTAAGTCCCCGCCGGAGGAGGGTGAAAGCTCCATCAGCAGACGCACGGAAGACGTACATGCTTTCAGAGGAACACGCGCTTCTTAGGTAAACATGTCGCGCATCAGTCGTACCGATCATTTAAACGCTGGGCTAGATGCCGAGCATCTGAGGAGGTATGAATCTGTTACCTGAACATCCTGACTGTAAGCCGCCAGAGACAATATGTAGATGCCGTGCCACTCTCGGGAAAACCATCACTCGTTAAATATTACGCTTTAACAAAACGCAGACTCCGCTTCTTCCAGAGGCATTACAAGAATATGTATATAAAGAATATACAGTGGTACCTCAGTTCTCGAACTCATTAGAACTCAAATTTCTTAAGTCGAACCAACCAGTTCGAAAAAAAATTACCTAGAGCTCGATCTGAATCTCAGAAGTCAAATGAGTCACGCGGCACGTCACTCATCGGAAACAAAGTGTAATGCTTCAGTCTCAGCCTCGCATTAGCTGTGATAGCATCGTGCATGTTTATACTAGCTGAATACATATATTTAGACAGTAAAAATACATTTAGACAATGATAGACAGTAACAGTAATTATTATTATATAATAAAATACATTTAAAAATAAAGATTTCTTATTTATTATTTTAGTATTAATAATAAACCATTAATATGTTTAATTATAATACTATTGTTGTGCCGAGCAGGAACGGAACGGAGACAAAGGCGCAGACGTCAGGGTATCGGGGAATACGGGGTTTAATTACAGGTAAGGCAGGCAAAACGCAGACGGACAATACAATGACCAGACTGGGGAAACAAACTAAAACGTGGACGAAATACAGAGGACTAATGACAACAACCAAAAACAGCTGATCACAGGAGGATTCGAGGGGGCGTGGCACACGGAAGGAGCGGACGATCGGGCCAGGACACATTTATTTTCTTACTTTACAAATTACTGTTTTGATAAATGTGCTTAGATGTGTTTAGTACAGTATATGCTCTTCTTGTTTTATCCGGTTCATTTTGTGTTCAAATGCTAAAAAAAACACATTTAGGTGTAATTTTTTGGGGCCAGGAACCAATTAATTGGTTTTCCATTATTTCTTATGGGGAAAATTCGATCACAACTCGAACTTTTTAGGATTCGATCCGGAGTTCTGAACGGATTAAATTCGAGTTCTGAGGTACCACTGTATATCATACATTCATTTATATGTATGTGAAGAAAGCAGATCTGGAGGTATAAGCGGGTCCTGCCTAGTACTAGCTGGGTGTACCGAATGAATGAATGGTGACCAGTGGGTGTATCTACAGTATATACACATGTACAGTACTGTCATAAGTAGTCAAAGAAAATGATGTTGAAATTAGAGATGGGCGATCCACATTTTTTCAGTTCCGATCCGATTCCGATACACAACTGCCGATACCGATACAGATTCCGATACAAGAGCTCTTTTTACTTTGTTATACTTTATATATAAATTTTTTTAATCTGGTAAATACAGATGGAAAAAATGCATGACAAAAAATATTTAATTAGGCTACTATAAACATACATAACGTACTGTTCCACCTCGTTTGTTTTAGCGTTTTTGAGGCATTTGCAGTTCAATATGAATATCTTCAAAGCAAGTATACACAAGTGGGTTTTTCTCCTATTGGCGTCAGCGCAGTTATGCTTGTGCTCCAATTTCCCCTCTGCTTAGCAACAGAAAAAGAAAAATCACAATGGTGAAAATCGCCCACATTTGTTTGGTGAGGGGCCACTTCAGAAGCTACCTTGAAGGCCACTGAGTAGATGGCATCCAGGCATCACAAGCTGCAGCGAGTTCACAAAACAGTCCAATTAAGTTAGCGACTCCCAAATCATCCATTGCTTTGTTTTGTCTCGCAGTTGCGTGCGCTTTGTTAAATGGGATTGTCCATTAAACGCTATTCCCACCTCAAAACTTTATTTTACATAGATTGCAAATCGCTGCGCTACTGGTTTCTGTTAAAAGCGTAAAATACTCCCAGATCTTACGCTCCTCGTACTGCGAAGGGTATGCGCATGACGTCACAGCAGGCGGAAGTCACTGTACTCACACCCACTGAGTAGCAAAAAAAGACTGAGGGGCAGCGATAGTGTTCGATTTCTACGCCGCAAAAA